CCACAGCAATGGGGAGGACAAATTTAAAATGACCCCAAAATTTACTTATATTTAAAGGCATAAAGCTATAATAAAAGGTATCACCTACAAGAATTCTTGCATTTCTTTCAGTTTCTGTAGCTAAATGTGTTCACAGATCCACTCCAGATATGCATGCACACACACCCACACCCACCCATCCACCCACAGACCCCAAGGTTCTCAACTATCTGTAACTTTACAGTCAGTACAAAATCAGACAAGAATGTTTGTCCATAAAGTCTATTAAAAAATTGAGCTGTCCAGAAAACCTCTAAGCAGTTGGAGCTGATTGAAGATCCCTGGTTGCAACAAGCTGGATGCAATATTAAGGAACACACAGAGCACAGCAGCACTACCTGGTGTCTAAGTGGGAGTGCAGCACCCTCCAGAGAGTCTATGGTAGGGGCAGTTTAAAGGAAAAAAGCTCTTCCTCCCTCCCTTTCCTCTGACACTGGCACCCACCTCCTTCCTCTCTTCTCTCCTTCTTTCCTCCCCTCCCCCCCCACTACTGGAGTTAAGCAGTGGCCAGCGGTATAACTGGGTCGCAAACTCCCGGCCTGACACTCTAAAAGGTTTAGTTCCATTGGCTTAGATGATCCAGCAACCACTTCAATTTCCCAATGCAGCCAGCCTTGCCTCACCTAGTGCATTCTTCATATCCCTTACAAGCATTAGTTTGCATGTCGAGAGTGATGGGGAGTGTCTCTTTAAAGAGGTGAGACCCTATATGATAAGTGGGATGCAGAGCAGGCAGAGAGGGTACATGCCTGTGGAGACACTTGGTTGAATACAGCTTCGTGCAGGTAGGGAAGACTGAGTAGGGATTGGAAGGCAACACGAGGGAAAAGAGGCTAGCATACATGACATAGAGAAATCTCTGTCCATATGATCTGTGGTGCTAATTAGCAGCTATAGGGCTCCACAGAAGCCCTATCCATTTCTTTAACATTCTGGTACACTAAGTTATTATATCGTAGCATTGGCTCACCAAGAGCTCTAACATGACACAACTGCCTTGAAACATCAGGGATGGTACCACAGGCACCAGTGCATTTTGGCTTACAATGTTAGATATTCTAGCATGTATTCTACACAACCCATGAAATGAAACAATAATACCAGATACTGCCTTCTACTCCTGGGAAGCTGAAACCTGCAAGGAGAACAGCGTAGTGCTTGGGGGAAGAAAAAATGATAAAAGGGGGGGGGGGAGTAATATTTGCTTTTCAGCTTTCCCTGGTAACAGACCCTCAGGAGCAACCACAGACTAGTCATGCATAGATTTTCCTCCAGGCAGAAACGATATTCCTGTTTTAAAACATCAGTTTTCAGGTACAGAAAATTGAGGTTCAGTACTGCCAAGTATTTCCGACATTTTGTTGAAAATATTGCTTCTTCTCACTAGAACTGAACTTAAATAAGTCCCCCTTTTGGCTTTAGCTTAAGACTCTCTCTAAATTAAAAAAAGCCTATCCTTGTACTAAATTTGTTTATGAATAGATTCATCACACAGAAACAACATGTAAGTGGTATTTCTGGTAATTTTTTTACTAAATTGAGACAGTACTGTGCACCGTTTAAAAACATCATAAAAAGCCACGTGTAGGCTTAAAAAGGTCATACACATAAATTTTAAGACAGCCCAGCTAGAAGTCATTTCCTTTGGATAACGCTAGGGCTTTAATAAATTGGTAGTAAGATTCTCCTCTTCCACTTGCAGGCAAGTATCCTGACCTTAGGGTTCTGTGCTTTCCCTGAAATATTTGATGCTGTCACTAACAGCAGAAGCAGCATGGGTTATGTAGGTACTGGTGAACTTAACAACTAGTTGTAGGACAAAGAACCACAAGCTTGGAAATTGACAATAAAAAAGGTGGTTCAGTTTACTATAAAGTAACGAACTGAAATTACAAGTAGTATAATATCTCGACCCCACTTGCTCCAACCCCAGATAGACAACCCCCACCTCAGCAGATCAGCCAGCCCCTCTATCCTGCAAGCAGCTCCTGGTGCCACTTTTCCTGGAGCCGAGGAACTAAGCTGGGGTGGGGGAAGGGACAGGGGGAATCAGGGATGGGGGTTGGTTTGCCGGGGCACAGTTGTTGGTCTGGGAGAGAGGGGCCTCAGGAGGCTAAAAACAGCCCCTGGTCTGGGGGACTCTCCCCCTGCCCTGTAACTCCTCCACAGACCACACTAGCCCCCCTGATCCTGCCAAACCCTCACAGACTCCACCAATCCCTTTGCCCCCTGATCTCTCCAAGCCTCCAGAGATCCCACTAGTGCCCCTGATCTCAAAACCCCTACAGAACCTGCTTGACCCAATTTTTAACTTGATCTAACCTCCCCCTAACCTTCCCGGATATCTGTGAATACCCTTGTGTCACACTATGCATTACTACAACTAAGGTAGATTAAGTATCTAGGACAGTGCTGTGCTTTGATCAGGAAAATCCTGATTTTACCCCTGCTGTTACTATGAAGTTCTGAGTGGACATGGCACATGTTATAGCATAGTGACAAATGTGAATGTCAAAACATAGTGACAAATCAAGGTCTCATTAGTCATAGGCTTATAACAACAGTTTTTGTCACTGCACTAAGTACTGTATCATATTAATGTAACGTGGATTACAAGGCATTTACCATTCACTTATGCTTTGCTAGCAGGTAAAAATCAACCTTCTGCAAAGCAGAATTCTGGAATAAAGATATGAAAATAGGCAATCATGACTAACATGCTTTCCTGAAAACTATAATTATCCATACGAGTCATGTATCATTACTGGACACCAGCTGCAAACTGATGGAGGGTGAAGAGGGGGTTCCTCTAAGGAAATACCATCTAGGAGAATCCACAAGGAGTACTGCACACAAACAATCTATCCTACACCATTAATCTTACTACATACTTGTTATGCTATTTGTCTGGACTAAGTCAAAACCAAAGCACCTAGATGGATTATCTTGGGTAAGGATGTTATTCTTACCACATGTCGAGGCAAGTGGAGTATTCTGTTGATCCCAAAAGGACATCTGGAGGTCTGTACCACAGGGTAACCACTTCATTAGAGTATGTGTGGCTGGGGACTGATTTGGCTCTTGCAAGACCTGTAGGATAAACGCAGTAAAAAGCCATAAACCTAAAGAAAACAAAGAAATGGACTGCTATACACCTCATATCTTAAAAAGCTGTATGTCACATGAACCTGGGCACATGCTATGAGCAGGGCAGCCTTTTGTATCTTTTGGCCTTGGTGTAAGTCAGGGGTTTTCAACGTTTTTTGGTTGGGGTACCCCCGGCAGCCAGTCAACAAGCAAGGGCAGGGCAGAGGGGGGAGTTCCCTGGTGGCTGGTCAACAAGTGGAGTTGGGTTCCCTGCACAGTGCACAGCACCAAATCCAGAAGTACCACTGGCAAAACTGGAAGTGCAGCTGGCTTCTCCATGCCACTGCCACGTACCCCCTGAGGTGTTCCAAAGTTCCCCCAGAAGTACGTATACCCCTGGTTGAAAACGCCTGCTGTAAGTTAAATAGGGAAACAACACAGTAACATTTATCATTTGATACATGACTAAACAAAGCCACAATTATTATGGAAGGACTATAAATACAAGCTTTTAGTAACTAAGGAATCGCAATAAATTTGGCACCATTCAGAATTTTATTCTTAGCATTCTTAAAACACAGTATTTAAAAAAAAAAAAAAAAATCAGATAAATCATTAATAGTCAATTATTCAAAGGAGACAAGAATCAAACCAACGTGTCAGCAGAACTCCAGACAACACTTTGATTTTATAGGGTCTTAAATCTTTCCCTGGGACAATCAATATTTATTCACATGAGAAAAAAATACACTGAAAAATATTTACAATTTCAGGAATGCTTTGTGGTATTCCTATATGGCAGACAAACAAATAAGTGTTGTCCTTTCATTAACTGCTCATAATTCAGCCAAGTTTTCATCACTGATCATCTTTCATTTCATTTGAGAGAGAGCACATGAGAGAGCAAAAGGTCTAATGTGAACAATACTACAGCTGGAATTGTTGCGAGCAGCCAAAGAAGTAAGCATCCCAAAACTGATGCTGAAAATCTCAGCCTATATATTTAAGGTTACATTTTAAAATAGTCAAGGCCCATATTCATTTACAAAGAATTCTCAGAACATACTCATAGTTACATTGACCACTGCTAACATTCTGCAGGTAGATTCACTAACTGTACATACAAAAGCTTTATTTCCCTCCCTCCCAGAATATAAGCATTGTAGAATCAGGGAACTTAGTTAACGGAAAGTTTAGGAAAAGACATAAATCTTTATTTTCTAATAAAATCTCCCCATAACAATAACCTATTTAAGACATGGCATTGTCAGTGGTCGCCCTTAAAGACTATCTGTTGCTTTAGGTAAATAAAATTATCTTACCTTAAGAACACACATGGAGTACAGCATATACTAAGGTAACTGCAATTTATTTAGGGCAAAGCTGGCAAGATATCATGAGCAATCACTATATGCTGGGAGATAGAACATGCACCTCTTTTATCTCTTCCCAAAAAGGGAGCCATGATTTAGGGACAGAGGCTCGGAGGCTTTTAGGACTAGTACAACTGGCTCCAACTAAAATATGGTAGAACTCTTTCTGTATGGTCCACATTTGATGATTGCTTTAATACTACCAGTTGCTGTAATTTAACAGTTGCTGTCTTCATAATGCTTGTAGCCAGGGACATAGGCATGCATGCACGATAGCTCATGTAGCTGGATTCTCACATTTAAAATAGAATGTCAGTTTTCTTCTAGAAGATAACAAAACTACTACGGCAAAAGAGACTATGATGCCATATAATCCAGAGAAATCAAGGGAAAGCCAAAAAAGCAAGATCATGCACTGAAAAATGAGAGTTCATATAAAAGTGCAAAATAAAATATTTCCTGGATTGGCAATGAGCATTACTTAATTTAAAGGAAGATAAAGAGCTAACAGGCTTTGAAAGGCCAAGTGGGAGGAAAGGGAGTAGAAGCCCCATGTTAGTCACCACATGTATGGAAAAGAGAATGAGGGGCAAAGACTAACTCATATAAGGCCAGGGTTGTGCGGACAAGGCATGGAGAAACTTGGCTAGATCCTAAATCCTGAAGAAGAGGAAAGTATAGAAATCATTATGAATCCCAAATCTGAGAGATAACAAGACAATGAAGAGAGACAGCAAGAGAAAAAGCAAGGTACATTAATAGGGTGAAAAACAAACAAACTTGGATGTGACTTGGATGACTACACAGTCCGGTGGGTGGCGAATTGGCTAGAGGGTCGCACTCAGAGAGTCGTGGTGGATGGGTCGGTTTTGACCTGGAAGGGTGTGGGCAGTGGAGTCCCGCAGGGCTTGGTCCTTGGACCGATACTCTTTAATGTCTTCATCAGCGACTTGGACGAGGGAGTGAAGTGTACTCTGTCCAAGTTTGCAGATGACACAAAACTGTGGGGAGAAGTGGACACACCGGAGGGCAGGGAACAGCTGCAAGCAGACCTAGGTTGGACAAGTGGGCAGAAAACAACAGAATGCAGTTCAACAAGGAGAAATGCAAAGTGCTGCACCTAGGGAGGAAAAATGTCCAGCATACCTACTGCCTAGGAAAATGACCTGCTGGGTGGCACGGAAGTGGAAAGGGATCTTGGAGTCCTAGTGGACTCCAAGATGAACATGAGTCAGCAGTGTGATGAAGCCATCAGAAAAGCTAATGGCACTTTATCATGCATCAGCAGATGCATGACAAATAGATCCAAAGAGGTGATACTTCCCCTCTATCAGGCGCTGGTCAGACCGCAGTTGGAGTACTGTGTGCAATTCTGGGCACTGCACTTCAAGAGGGATGCGGATAACCTGTAGAGCAGAGCTCTCCAAACTGTGTGCCGCAACACATTAGTGTGTCGGCGGCAGTGTGTAGGTGTGTCACGCGAAATGCAGAAAATTTTGCGGAAGGGCACCGCGGAGCTCCCTTACTCGCGTCTGCTTCCCTTGGCCCCTCCCCCGGAACTGAATTCCTGTGTCGCGAAATGAGGCATGTCTAAAAAGTGTGTCACCAACATGAAAAGTTTGGAAAGCTCTGCTGTAGAGGGTTCAGAGAAGGGCCACTCGTATGGTTAAGGGCTTGCAGACCAAGCCCTACGAGGAGAGACTAGAGAA